TATTTAAATTAGATCTATTATATTAATGTCTACATAGTTACTAAATACGATAAAGATACAAGACAATACTTTTTTTTTTTTTACAATATCAACTATCAATGTAATGTTTTCGTTTTGTACAGAAATAAAAGATCCATATCATATTCGTTCTACCAGATTTCGAGTTCGAAAAACTGCAGTTGATGTAATAACTTGAATACCGTTATCATTGAGCATAGATGGTGTATATTGACCAAGAATTTTTCGAATGCCTACTTTTATTCTATACATAAATATCGAACGAAATAGATGACTTGATAATGTATAAATATAAAATGATTTCGCAAAGTTAGCATAATAAAGAAGAATAGTAAACGACATCAAAAATGTATCTACTAATGCTTCATAACCAGTAGCTCTTGGTTTCAAAATGTAACAAGCATATGAAATCATACGAGTCATTACTAATAATGAACTTAATCCTACTTGACCAAGCATCATCTATATAAAGAAAAATATTTTCAATATATATCATAATCTCTATTCAATTACTTACTATAATCAATTGTTTATCTTTTTTTCTTTCAAGATGTTGTGATTGATTATAAATGGTGAGATTTATTGTCTGTAATTGAACTCCTATTCGTCGTTTTGTTTGTCGAATATTCATGATAGTAAAAAAACCAAATATTAACATTGATAAATGGGGAATTACACCCAACCAAAACACTACAAACATACTATCGAACATAGCATAAGGACCTGGCATAGTAGCGCATATTGGTCGAAGATCATATGAAACAAGAATATGAGAACATGACAAAAAACTAATGGCAATAACTATTGCTGTTGCACGATAAGCTATTTTAATTTGACTAAATGAACGAAGACGAACATTAACTGATGATGACATACATCGATCGATAGATGATAATAAAACTAAATACATAGCCACTAATGGTATTGCAGAAACTAAGTAAGCACGAATTTTACAATAGATTCGATTTGTATTTAGTAGAGTACTACCAAGATGATCATTAGCAAATCGAGTTGTAACTCCAAATGTAATGGATAATAAATCAAATATAGCTGCACAAAAAAAATAAAAAGCACAAGAATTCTTATGTAATTGTGTTGCTGTAAAAGTAATAAAATTACAAATACAACCAAAAATACCAAAACTTAAAACAATAATTGGACCATAGTAATTCACTTCACTAGTAACACTTTGTATTGTAGCAACTATCGTTGTCATAATAGACGAAAATATTTAAATAGATAATATTTTGTGCAATAATATCTATAAGAAAACTTTTTTTTGTTTAATTATGATAGTAACATTGATATTTCGAATATTTAAAAGTTACAAGAAAATATTTTCTTTTAATTGAATACGTTTATATTCATTGAGTCTATGCGAAGTGTAATTGTTGAACAGATTTTTGTTGTTTTTTTTCTTTTTTTCATAGAAAATATAATGAGATAAATTAAAAGAGAAGAAATATGAATGTTACGATATATATTAAACTAATGATAATTATTGCTTGAAATAAATTTAATAAAGCAAAAGAATACTTGTAAATGAGATTCTATACTTTGAGAATATTACGAAGATTGTCATGTAAATAAAAATGTTACATTATTTTTTTTCTTGCTACCACATCTTATCCTATTTTAATCTGTAATCTTTTTATTTATTTGGTTAAGACATTAAAATTAAAGAAAAATCTCAGGTCATTTTTTTTCCATCAGAGTAAAGTAGCTTTGCTTTTAATAATTCTAATGAAGAATATTTTTTCTCAGCTAAACATTCAATAAACAATGCAATGTTTTATGTGAAAAGTCGGTTGCTTTCTTTCTGTTTTTTTTAACAAGATCAAAATCGTTCAAGGTAGATAATAGATTGTTTTCGTTCGACTATGATCGATGAAAATCGAACTATGGCTAAGCAAAGCAATCTATAATGATGAGTCACGTGAAAATAATTGTTAGCGATTAGTATTTTTTGTCGAAACTAAGTATCTATCAGAGTAATTGATGAATGAATGCTTAGTGTTTTATCCAGAGGAAGTGCTCGAGAGGGGCGGCAATCCCCCGAAAAACGAATTCACTCTACTGGAATTTGGGATTAATACCTCGTGGAGTACTTAACAGACTCCTCCGAGACTAGGAGTTGGTCCCGCAAAGTTCCAAACGGCTGCTCCGGAATAAAAATTCTGAATAAAATACCAATGAATACTTCTCATTGATAAAGTTGATTTAAATTCGTAGTATGCTCATAACGATGCCTTTAAATTTTGTTTAAAACTAGATTTTATTCTATCGTAAAAATTTCAGCTTAAATGAGTTCTATAATTCGCATATAACGAATCTGAAAAGAAAACTTCTCTGTTATAAAAGATTTGAACAAGTAAAAGATATAATTCTTTATTCTAAGTATGCAATATATTGAAGAAACATCATCTATCATAGATAAAATATCAACGATATGACAATGCATATAAGATTGAAATTTGGATAATGTTTCTATTTGAAACTTGTTCATATATTTTTGTTCTTACCAATCTCAACAATGTGCTGCTAATTAAAATAAACGATCAAAACTTGAAAAGAAAAGTATCAATGCAAATAGAATCTATAATTGTTCTGTCGAAATCAAAGATGAAGTATATGTCATTGGATTAGAGATTATTAATTGCAGTTATAATTTCGGACTATCTTCAGAAATCAATCGATGTAAATTATATACATGAATGTATTTAAGGGTACCCCCCCCCTCTTTTTTGACACTTTCTGATTCTCGAAGACGGTACGACCGATCAAGCTCAAATTTTCAGCACAGATAGAGCATCAAAAATAACGAGATACGTGTTCGAGGAAAGAAAATTTAAACTAAGTTTTTATGGGGTTTTCAGGAAAACTCTGATTTTCCAGAGGTCCGCATCCTGATACATTACGACCCCCCTTAAATTTTGTCTGATCGGGCTGAAATTTTTACCACTAATACTTGAGAATATTCCCCAGAGGTAAAATCGAGCGTTTTCGTTTTTGATGTTCCTACTCGGAGTTACAGGGTCGCGAAAGCCAAGACCCGAAACACAAACTCAAATCTTGGCGTATTTTTCTTATAAAAAAAAAAGGAAGTGAGATTTTTAGAAATCCTTAAATTTACCTCTGAGGAATAGTGTTGAGTATCTATAAACAAAATTTCAGCCCAATCGGACAAAATTTAAGGGGGGTTGTAATGTATCAGGATGCGGACCTCTGGAAAGCCAAAGTTTTCCTGAAAACCCCATAAAAACTTAATTTAAATTTTTTCCCTCGAACATGTATCTCGTTATTTTTGATGCTCTATCTGTGCTGAAAATTTGAGCTTGATCGGTCGTACCGTCTTCGAGAATCAGAAAGTGTCAAAAAGAGGGGGGGGTACCCTTAATATTTCATATTCGAAAGAGTATTTTTAAAAATATAAAGATAATTCTTATCAACACTTGGCAGTGCCTTTGATCTATTCATTTTTTTATAAAGAAAATGTTTGTTTTCCATTAGCTGCAAAAGAAATGCCAATGTATATTTTTCATTTCCATTCCATATTTTACCTATAATTTTCTTTCCATTATACATTATGTTGTCCATCTGATTTATACAAATCAAAGTCAAGATTTTGTTTTTGTTTGATGAACTTCATTAATTAATATGATTAGTATCGCCGCCAAAATACGATGAACGTGAGTATTTTTTGGATATCTCGAGAACGGATGCAGCTATCAACCTGCGATTTTCAGCATTCGAAACACAAATGTGGGGGAAATAAACTGATACCAAACTCATTAGGATTGTAGGATTTTTTAGAGTCTCAGGAAGCCTGGACTTAAGTCGGACTTTCACGGTCCAAACTGTTTCAATAAGTTTTTGAGTTTTAGACATGGATTATATCGAGTATATGCTTCTCTTCATTTCCTGTAAGTTTGAGAATTTTATCTTCTTTCATTCGGTTACTGGATGGTGNTTTGATAATTTACGATTGTTTTAATCATTCCAAACTATTTTTTGATCTTAACAAAATTGTCATGTTTGAGAACAATTCATATGCATAAAATGAGAGATAAATTCTATACCGCGAAATGGTCAAGCATATGAGAAACAAAGTTTATTCGAAAGATGACACTATATTGTCATGATGAAGCAAATACTCATATAAACATATATATTGAAATTCTTTCGTTTGCCCTCAGTAATACTTTTAACTTTAACAACATCGACAATAAAAGTAGAAATTATATTCAGTGATATTAAAGGAATTTTATGCTTAAAAAGACAGTCACTGAGTAATAAATCACTTGACTTACTTACTTCCTAATGCAATCTAACATAATTTCTCAATTTCTGTTGTTATTTATCCGTCTAACTAAATCGTATATTTTTGACGAATAAAAGTTTGCAAACGTAATATGGCTAAAACAATTTGCTGGGCGTTGGATCCGAGTAGGAAAAGTTGTGGGCGTGGAGAGTTGCAGAAGGGATTGAAACCCACGCCCCGACTAATCTGAATGGAATGTTGGTTTAAATAATTTTTTATTACTTCGCTACTAGAAAGTTAACAGAAAGTAATTGTAGGGTGTGAGTATTATCGAAGAAAAGATCTACATAATCACATCCTTTCTCTAAATCATTTAATCACTCTGAGGTGCACTAAATCTTGCAAAGAATAGAGCAAAAGATGTGTTGAACTGAGAATTTGATGATATATGTATCATCTAAGTAATTGAACGCGCATTAGTCCTATTTTGAGTCTTAGCATTGCACTATTACTAGTTATTTGCTATGAACAAATATAATCTTCTATAAGTCTACTCGTCAAGGTATTTATTTCAACACTCGTGAACAATTGGATCTTACAATAATTGAAAAAATTTACGTTTCATGGTGTTTTGCGAATTGAAGTCGAAGGTAGAATTAATCGAAACTACTTATGCAACACTGGAAATTGGTTGTTGAATATTTCTGCTGGGCGCAGACATTCAAGGATCATCATTTTCAATGGCATTAGTGGAAGTTAGATTTTTTGCAAGTTTATCTAAAGTCATCGATGGAGAATTTTCAATTGACATTGTACCACTAGCAAACGTATCATTGCCTGTTTGATCACCGCCAAGTATAGCGTTGACTTTCTCCAACCGTTCTTTCGTCTGTTGTAATTGTTGTCGTTTAGCTCGAACAACCGTATCCTCAGCAAGATATGCATCGACGAGATCAGATTGTTCGACAGGAATCTGTCTCAAGCGTTCTCGTATACCAGGACATATGTCAAAGACGCATCCTGCACGTATAGACAAAGCTACATAATCGATGAGACGTTTCATTAACAATTTCCAATACGCATAAATACTAATTATCATATCTTGTACTGCTTGGCCATCATTCGAGATGGCATCAACGACTGACTTATCATCGTCATCGTCGTTAATTGTCACAGACAAATGCATTTTCCCATCCGTTCTGCCAGATTTTTGCTCTGCTATATACTCTTTAAATTTATTAATCGTAGTCATGTAGTAATGATTCAAAGTATACGGCTCATGTTTTTCTAGTTGGATTATTTCTTGCAATTGATCGTGCACTGCTTGTTTTTTTTTTTTCAAGTACATAGAAACAACATTACGAAATACCGGTAGCAATTTTAATAGCAAAATATCCTCATTGCAAGCATCTTGATCATTATCCAATAGTAGTGTAGATGTCATATGAAAACTTTCTTCGATAAGCACTTCGATTACGTACCAAAGTTGATCAATCTTTTCACATATGAAACGTTTCAATACCGGATGTGGTAGAAAATTTGCTAATTGCTCACCAAAGCATGCTAACATGGCATTGTGAACTTTAGAATGATATATTCGTGAAAAAAATTCCTTATCTTGATTTCTTATGATATCTTGAGCTTTTTTGAATTTGTCATGCAAATTATTAATTATACTAGTATGCCGACCATCATTTAAGCTCTTAAAACGTTCTTTAATGATATTTTCTACATACCAATCAGATAATTCGTAATATTTGGCCAATCGTGCAGAAGTCGATTCTAAATCTGGCGGAAATTTTGATAATTGTTCGCGAACTTCTTTCAATTTTGTTTGTATATCGGTTCGCATTTTCGGAAATGTTTCTTTAACCCGATCAGAATATAAATCAGCTAATCGATTAATAAGTGCGTCAATGCCAAGGCAATGCCCAGTAATACGCGAGGCAGGATGCTGACTAAAAAATTCTTTTTCACGTTTACGAGCATCTTCTAGTGAAATTCTTTCAGTAGTACTGCGATTACGAACAGCAATAAAGCCTAATTTCAAATGAAGTACGTCAGGTCGATGCATTAACAATTGTTGTATTAACATATCATGATTTAAAGCAAGATCAGATTTTGTTATAACGCCAATCGTTCGTACACCTGTCGGATCGAATTCACGTGCTATTGTGAATGATTCAACGGTTGCAATATCAACATTCGCCGGAAAAACACATAAAATAATGCTACCTTCCTGACAAATAAAGTGACGAATTAAATTTGTTGTTTGTTTATGAATATCTTTTGGCTGATCGGCAATAGGATTACGCGCAATGCCAGGCAAGTCGACCATGGTCAAATCCCGTACATTAGGATCGTCTACTTGTAGTTCAATTAAATCTTGAACAATATTTTTATTTTCACCGGCCAATTTCTTTGTTTCTTCCTCGATATACTTTAGTATATTGGTTCTTCTTTCATCAAGTATAACTTTCTCATTGCCATTCAAGCGGTATAATCGTCGTACACTAGATTTACGTAATCTTAACACTAATGGACATCTAGTGACAATACCGGAGCCTTTTGGAAGTTCGACTAATGATAATGATTCTAGTAATGTTGATTTACCACTTGACTGATCACCAACGACAACAACGTTGGGAAAAGTAATGCCATCATTGCTCCATGATAATAATGACCGAGCTTGATCAATTTTGTCCATCAATGGACGAATTTTTTCATCATAGACACTTATAAATGTATCCATCATTTTCGCCATTCGTAAGAAATGCTCTACAGTTAAAAAAAAAAGGGAATTATAACGTCTAATGTTCAGAGTTCAACTTTCGCAACAAATCAATCGATATAGAATTTGGCTGCAATAGGAACATTTATCATTTTTTTAAAATACTGTATGAAGAAAGTCACGTTTGCGTCCTGCCTTGGTAGTATGTTCTAGGTGCGCCTATGAGTATCGTGTGCACAAGATGTGTCAACTGTAGAAATGTGAAAATTCATAATTATTTCCGTCTCGGTTCCATAAAATATTGACTAAATTTTGAAACGAATTCAAAAATTTGCTAACCGTCATGCGCACGAGTTTCATCAAATTCAGACAGTTATTATTCAATAACACAAAATAAGAAAATCGAGTTTTTCAGAGAACGGGAATTAATGTTTTATAAAACCAAGCAGCTGTTTTTACAAGATCAAAATGGTCCAGATTTATTCCGATTCCAGGGATCACCAGTCAGCTGTGTTCGTGGTTAACAACGACCTACGTATCTAAAATACGACTTTTCAACTTAGTAAATTCTCGGATTTTTTCTGTAACAGGATGGAGCATTATTTCAGTGACTTCTTCTAATGACAATGAGTGTAACCTATTCCAACCCCTTATTTAACATGGATCTATCCGATTGAATGATACCTCAAAGATGTTTACTTTTACCTGAGTCAACTTTTGGTAAGTCAAACCGGCGAGACTGTATATAATGAGCAGCTTTTGTATAAAAATGTCAAGTCTATATCGCAGATGTTTTTTATTATTGTTATTTTAATCATTATGATTAGTTTCAATACACCTGAGAATTCATTGAATAATCCGTAACTTACCTTTATTCGTTGACAACTATTGTAACTCAAATACACACACAATTAGATAGTTGTCTTTCCAATAGTTCTAAATAGTATTTGTATTGAATGTGAAAGCAATTGGCAAAAACCCCGTAGAAGAGTCGATGAATATTTTTTTATTATATATAATGACGTAGAACACGACAAACTTTCTTTCTTTATTCGACTATGGCTTACAGCTGAGTTTATTCTCTTGCTTTTATCAATGTACTGATGCTGCTCTGTTTTTAATCCGTAGTTGGAAAGTTTCAAGTGTCGATTATCGCAAAGTGTATATAAGCTCATTTTTGTATTATAGAATTTCATCGTCTTTGTGCAAAATAAAATATCTTCAGTGTTCTATACTTAATCGCATTTTCTTTCTGCGAAAAAGAAGAAAGGAAAATCATACAGATTAGTCAACTTGTTATTGTTCTGTCTAGACAACTCGCACACTTCAAACCCAGAATGAGGATATCGGTGAGTAGGCCTGCTATCAAAACACGTAAGTTGAGTCTGGGTGTGGGTATGGGGTGGGTGAGGTCGGAAGGAAGGTCCACATCCACAGCCTACATGCCACCCATACCTACACACCCACAGCCAAAACACACTCCGAAAGAGGACACCTCAGTACAGTGCACACTCTGAAAATATCGCTTGGGTGTTCATCCTGAAGAGGTTATAGTGTAGCATCTTGCTGCCAAGGACGAATCGGACACTTGAAAGAGATGAATATGCATTGCTTTCTGACTGAAATCATTGAAGACTACGAGCAGATATTTATGGAATAAATATTAATAATTTGACACTAGTTCTGCCTACGTTTGATTGTTGTGAGTGTTAATATCAGCCCATACGAAGAAAACGCACACACTTCTTTGCTGCGAGGTAAAGAGCTTCAATAACGTTAGTAGACAGTAAGCAACTGTAAAGCATTTGAGTTTTCAATTTTTGAGTGTTTTAAAGCTACTTTAATTTCATAAGCAGCTTCAGGCAGTTAAAAATGGAAACTCTCAAGGGCCTTCTATCACAATCCCTTGAAAGCACTGTTTTACGACTAGGCACATCTTCGATTCGACACCATTGAAATCCTAACCATACACTTTTAGTATTTTTCATCATTTACACTAGTTTCTAGTTTGCAAATGCATCTATCTATTGTTGGATTACATTTTTCAACTGGCTGAGGTCTGCCTCACGTCCTCAAAGCGAAGGCTCATAACATAATCTATGCAAATATCTGTGATCTCGCTATTTATTTTAGACTGTTCCAAACTGTGTACGCTTTATTTGTTTTTTTTTGTTTATATCTGTCAAAGCGTAATTTTGCGTCTCATGCTACTTCTTATTTTACTCAGTTGCTGATAAGTGTTGAAAGGCAAAATAAAAGCATTCATAAGCTCGAAAAGTCAAACTGTTTTAAGCTCAGTATTTCTGCTTAAATTTTCAGATGGTATCAGAATTCAATATCATCGTTACCTTTATAAAGTCTAGAATCATTTGTTCATTGTCCTCTCTCGTCTTAAATCGATCAGCCAATGCTGACGATGACTAAAGAAAATAAGGAATCTCAACTATCGGTAAGATGTATTATTTTGCGTATGTCTCTAAAACCCAACGTATGGTAATTCAAACAGGTAGAACTTTAAAGGCTTTCTAAGAGACGATCAAAACACTTTCAGGTGTTTAAACAACTTTTCAAACAACATTGTATTGGTTTTAAACAATTCTGTGTGGTCACTCTGTGTTGGGTAGGTACTTGAGCCTAAATTGGGCTACAAGTGAAAACTAAATACGAAAGAACGTTAGAAAATAAAAAAATGTAAGGATTTCTTTGGAGCTATTGTTTCATAACAAGTATTTCGTCGATCGCAATAACTGATTTTTGAACATCAACACATTTCTTTTTTTTTTATTTCTCCGTGTTTATAAGTTGAAACGTTGCCATTAACATTCACATTAGAACAATTACCAGATGAATTGTTAATCTACATATTTTATTTCTTGTCAAATTGTAACCTATACAGTACTATTTACAATTTAAACACGCGCCTCAATGCAATAAACCATTCACTGAAATTGTAATTAGATTTGATATCGACAAAATCTGCATTTCACAATTATTGTTCTAGTTAAAGACTATTGGCACAGCAGATCTACAATCTAAAAGTATCAGACGAATATGATCGTCTGACTTTGTTTCATCAGCATACTGATATTGGCCTTTTCACGAATCTGAGAACATTGACTATCATGAACTCATCTCCAGAGAATTTCCGTAAGTCTTGTCTACATCTCAAGCATAAGTTAGCTAATAATAATTTCTACTTTAGATAAAGTAGTGTCAAAATTACATTTACTAGTGCATCTACCGTACTTGAACATTTATAAAATATTGATCCAGTCGCCCTATATAGCAATGGCTTTATTTTCACTGCAATCATTGAAATATCTAATCATCTATTCAATTAAAACAATTAGTTTCGATTTTACTTATGATGTTATTCGTTCATTGAGTGTACTTGAATATGTACAAATCGATAGTTGTTACATTAAGGACTTTTTAGAGTTGCTGAAATATGTAGGTTCAAATGTAAAACCAATGAAAATAAGTATCAGTTATAGACGCAACCAAGATCCGATTACAATTGACCCAAAATTAATTGATGATCTACTTTGTGGCGATGAAGAACATACCATGCAGAAGAATTAGAAGCAAAACATGTTTGAAAGGAAACAAATGATATTTTTGTAATGAACAAAACTATAGGCTTGCGGAAACATGAGGTCACATCAAAAGAGCTAGATCGTGCAAACTTTTTAGAAGGAAAAATTGACCAGTTCAAGTCACAGAAAAAGTTGTTTATCATGAAAGAAGTAACGATTGCTATAGGATCTTTTTTCTGTTGTCTTCAATGACCACTATCTTAACACCACTTGTCTAGCATCTTATCCAATCAAGTAGCGATGTTGTTTAATTGATAGTAGTCCAAAAGAAAACTCTATATAAAAGTTACAACATTTGTTTCTTTTTCTCTTCATTTCCTGGTCTAGTATTGTTAGATCGTCTTCATATGTCATTTAATTATTTATCATTAACGGATTTTCAACTTGTTTTGAAATTATTTCCCAATCTAAGACATTTGACATTGTCAACATTAATCGATAGTTTAGATTTCGCGTTGGCAACAATCTGGTACCAATTTATTTCTAGAAATCTATTAAACTTGAAAAAGTTCCAATTTTACATACGAATCGATGGCAACTTGATTGCCAATCGCCGCTTGCTAATTCATTCAATCATATTGATACTAGATGGATTGACAGCACTGTCATTATGGCCCATAATTTTCTATTGAAGCCACCATTACTAGAAGTTTATACCTATTCACAACCCTCACGTGACGGTAAGTATATTGTAGAATTGTAAGGAAAATAAAGACATACAAGAGCAAAAAGTAAAGAAATTAATATTGATAAAAATATTACAAATTTAAAAATTACATTGAATGATAATCAATTATTGACGAGTAAAAACCTGGCTGTTTATCCGAAAGTAACAACAATAAATATTCATTCACAAATGACAACAACTGCAGTAGAATATGATTCGAAAAATAGGTACAACAACCAATGTATTCAACTAGCATTCCGTATTGGTGTTGAGGCTTCATAAGTAATTTAAAAAAACATGACCAGTTATAATTAAATAGAGTCAGAAACAATTCATGTTAATAGAATTTTTCGAAGAGTAGATTTCAAGAAATGTTTTCCTCTGATCGAATTTGAACATGAATTGAATAGGTTTTCTTTTTATTTACTTTGATCAGTTTTCATATAATGCAATCGATTTCTGATTTATCCAAAATCACCATGCTTGATTTCACTACTAATTCACCAACAAATTCAAACTATCCATCAGTAAGCCTCGCATGTAGTCTTCTGGTTATGTTGCCAAAGGTCAGTCAACTTTGTTTACCTTACAACTACATACTTGGATTTCTCAAATCATCATTAATGGTGCAAGAATTAGCGAAGCCGATTGACTTGTTTTGGATTATATTTTATACTGATCCGTCGTTACTTGAAGATATGATCGAAATCTTGAAAATTTTTCCACGAAACTAAATTTTCTATATTTCATATTCCATATTG